GGCTGTGCCTTCAAAAAAGGGGGTGGAGCCCCCAAAAGCCCAACCATGGCTATGGGCCTGCCTATCTCCCCCCCCCCCGACCTAGCTACAGGGACGCATGCAATGGTCACCTCCAGGCTGGACTACTGCAACTTCTACAGTCAAGAATTGCAAGCTGTCCTGCAAGCAACAGATACCAATCTAGCTTCTAAAACATCACAATTAACCAATAAAAAAATAACTAAATAACAGCAATAGCAATTGATGGCAGCATCCGATCACTCCAATTCCATCTGCTCCCATATAGGCTCCCTGCATGTGTGCAGGTGGATGGAAATTGGTGTGGATGGGGCAGATGGCAGGCAATATAAATTGCACATAACATGCAATGCAAAGCTTTGTAGAGCAATGCAAGGCAAGGCAATGCATGGAAAGGGGAGGCCAAGTAAGTAGATAGGTCTTTGCTGCCTCAACCATAGGCCTGGCAGAACATCTCTGTTTTACAGGCCCCACAGAACTGCATTAAGTCCCACAGGGCCTCGATCTCAGCAGGGAGAGTGTTCCACGAGGCCGGTGCCCGAGCCAAAAAGGCTCTGGCTGAGGCTAGGCAAATATCTTTGAGGCCAGGGACCACCAGCAGATTTTGGTCCAATGAGCACAGTGCTCTTCTGAGAACATACTGGGAATGGGGAGCGATAGTCCTGAAGGTATGTTGGTCCAGATCACATAGGGCTTTAAAGGTCAAAACCTTGAACCTGACCCGGTATTCAACTGGGAGCCAGTGCAACTGGTGGAGCACTAGATGTATATGTGCTCTGAATGGTGTTCCTGTCAGAACATGTGCCACTGTGTTCTGGACCAGCTGGAGTTTACAGATCAGGCTCAAGATCAGGCCCTGCATAGAGCAAGTTGCAGTAGTCCAACCTGGAGGTGATCATTGCATGGGTCACTGCAGCTAGGTTGGGGGTAGAGAGATAGGGAGCCAGTTGCCTGATCTGGCAGAGATGAAAAAATGCTGATCTGACAACATTTGTGACTTGGGCCTCCATAGATAACAAGGTGTCCAACATCACACCCAAACACCTGACAGTTGGCACTGGTATTACCAATGCCCCATCAAGAGATGGGAGTTGGAAACCTATTCCCACCCCTCCTCAACCCAGGCACAGGACCTCCCTCTTTTAACTGTTTGCAAGTATAAACATCAGGGTTATCAATCAGGTTTATAAACATACCCTCCTCTGATACTCACCCAAGACTCTCACAGCTACCACCAGCATGACAGTCGCGATGAATGCAGCCCACAACAGAGTGACGAGTCGCCAATGGAGACCCTGGGAAGGGACTGCAGTGGTGACATCCAAGTTAATAAATGCAAGATGATGTTCTAGAAGAGCTTAGTGCAATTAAAACACAAATTGAGAATCTTATACAAGAGTCCACTTTGTTAAATGTCATGGGCAGCTACTGACGTTGTTGTGGTGTCTGTGTCTATTTTTGTAATACACCTGCATTTTTATGCTTCAAATATTGATGGTACCTTGATTATGACCATAGTTAACAGCGTTGCTCTAATAAGAATTTCATCCATATAAATGACTGCAGGCTGAAGAACACTGCGGCGATAAGATGCTTTGGGAAGTCAAGGTTTTTCCTATACAGTGTTGCCTGCTCCGTGCAGCTATCAATATACTTGTCTCTAATTATCAATATAGCACATAGTTGGCAAAATTGTTTCCTCTGCAAATTATGTGTAACCTTGTGAGTTTGGCTCTCTCTCTATTGGAGTTTGGGGGGAAAGGTATTTTGTCCCTGAGAGGGAGACTATAGTAGAGTCCTGAGTGGCGGGAAAAGAGAGTGAGGAAAAGGAGTTCTGAAAAGAAAAGGGAGAGAGAAGCCATCTGGGTTGGAAGATAGAGAACACAGTTGCCTGAGAAAGAGACTCAAGAGGGCTGCAGCCTTCAGTGATATTGAAAAGTATTGGAGTTCCAGGCGTAGCATAGTGAAATCAGCTCACGTTTATTGATTACATCGGAACGCAACGAGATAAATTAGCTGGTGCAAGGCCAGCTTATATTCGTGCACACACTCATTTCCTGTGATAGGTTCTATCTACATGGCCCTGATAATGATAGGTTCTCTTCAGGATCCTAGCGCTCTCATTGGTTCACGTTAGGATTCACAGTGGCTACTGTTTTAGACCCAAAGGTCTGTGAGTTCGGTAGACCACATGGCCGGGCGCACGTGGTCGCAGCCATCTTGATACATAACAGATATGCAGCAACACACACACACACCACACACACCAGAGCCTTCAGAAGGTCTTAGAGAGACAGTAGAAGACTATAATCACCTCTTTGGTTCCAACTTTAGGTTGTGTTGTGTATGTCTGAGTTTTCTGCCTCTCTCCTCCTTTTTTGATTCCCTCTCCTTTTCTATTCAATTAAGCCCTACTTTCATTTTACGTTATGGTTATAGGTGATTGTAGGGTTTGGTGTCCGATTTTTTCTACTTGTTTTGCCTCCTAACTGTCCCTCCTTTTAGGAAGTGGAGGCCAATGGGCTGGGGGCACTCGTACTTTCTTTTTTTATCACCCCTCTCCATTAAGCAATCCAAGACCCATAACTTCTTCCCTCAACTGGGTTTGGTGGGAGAAACTGAGGTAGCATTCTCAAATACGTATAAGAGGACGGCAGAAGACAGGAGGGCCTGGCGGGAGATGATCCATGGGGTCGCGAAGAGTCGGACTCGACTGTGCGACTGAACAACAACAACAATTATTAGGCCACTTAAAAAAAAATCAAACTTTGAGGTCAAAATTTGGGTCTCCAAAATACTAAGGAGAAAACTGTATATGTTATTGAAAAAGCAGCAAACTAAAGGTTTAGTTTTGATTGTGTAATCTAGAATTGCAGATATCTCACAGGTTTTGACAAAGGGGATCAAGAAATTGCAGCTCTGGTTCCCCACCCCCACCCTGTGACAAGCTAGTTTTGTTTGCATTGTCTTTCATTGTGTATGCATATTTCCATAGTGCTATTAGTACCATCATGGTGTAGTAGTCTGAGTGTTAGGCTAAGCCTTGGATGTCCAGGTTCAAACCCCTCTTTTCCATGAACCTTACTTGGTGACCCAGCAGCACCCATTATGGTCTTTCAGCCTAATTTACCTCAGTATAGAGCCCTGAGCCCCTCAAAGGAAGGGAGGGATACAAATTGTTTAAATAATATAATATTTATACAAATACGGTCATTTTTTGTTGTTATTTTTAATTTAGTTATTTGGTGATGGTGGAAAGTGCCATCAAGTTGTAACCAACTTATGGCGACCCCTTGGAGTTTTCAAGGCAAGAGACATTCAGAGGTGCTTTGTTATTGGCTGCCTCTGTGTAGCGACCCTGGGATTTTCTGGGTTGTCTCCCATACTAGCCAGGGCCAACCCTACTTAGATTATGAGATGAGTAGCCTTGGCCATCCAGGTCAGGGCTCTTTGATTTATAATTATCATCTCTATAACTGCTTCTTTGCCTTCAGACATTAGAGAAAAATGACACTCATGGCCATTTCTTAACTAGAAAAAGAAATCTACTTCCTTAGCAGCTTGTTACCTTTGTGTCTATTAGTGTCACATTACAGGGCAGTCTTAAGCAGAATAATACTCTTCTAAATCCACTGGAGTCAATGGGCTTGGAAGAGAGAAACTCTACTTAGCCTCGCGCTGTTGGTTTGGTTATTCTACTTACTTCTAAAACCAATCTGTCATCGGTAGAGAATACTCTACCTTACGATTAATAAAAAATTCTGTCGTTAAAGGCACAAAGTATATATGATTTATATATCATAAAGCATAAATTCCATAATGAGATGTATTTCCTACTCTATGTGCTTAGAACGGCAGTCATAAACTGAAAAGGCATAAGCCAGTATTTGTAGACAATAAATAATAGTTCTAATAAAATTCCTTTTAATCAATATCCTTTCTAGGAATTATTATCTTTCATATTGATGGGCAGGGTGCAAAAATGCAAACCATAATTATGAGAACACAACTGAATATTTAAGGGTTTTTCCCCCTTTATTCACAAAGACAAGTATATCTTTCCTTAAAATATTTGAAGATATTTTTGCATTAGCATGCCAAAATATTTCTTGTATTGAACAATTTGCAATCTTTACAGGCAACATTTTGGGGGGAAATGCATTTTAATACAAATTTATGATTTCCCCCCCCCTTTTCACATTCCCTTTTCACAATTTTTAAAGTCACCTTCATCCAGGGGGTGGATTCTGTCCCTGTGTTTTAAAAAGTGAGGTAAATCCAAAAGAGAAATAAAAATTGGGCTGTATCCAGCAATCTGCCAGCAAACAAAAGAAGGGGAGGGGATTAGAACTTAATTGCTGTGGAAATGTCCAGCACAATGTGAATTCTCTGATTCCCCCTGATGAAGCCTATATGGCAAAATGCACAGGTGCTTTTGCATGATAGTAAATCTGCCACCTACCACATGGATTACCCCCTCCTTTTTGTTTGCTTAAAAGTAAGGTACATTTTCCTGTTCCGCATTTCCCCTTCATCCTCTCCAAAATAGGGTATGCATTTATCTGTCTGTCTGTCTATCTAGATATATAGATATAGATATCTGTCTGACTGTAGGTAGGTAGGTAGACAGACAGACAGACAGATAGATGATAGATAGATGATAGACAGACAGACAGATATGGACACAATCGGTTGGATGTATAACAACAGGAAAAAAATATCTGGGTCACAAATGGATTTTTAGACTCAAAAACTGAAAGCTATAAGTTATACCCAAAGTAGATCTTGGGCAAATTGAAATAACTTCAGTGCACACAACGGGGGAGGGGAGTGGTGGAGTTCCACCAGTTGGCCTTTCGAACGGCAACCCCTTAAACTATATTCTTGAGAACAGCTCTTGGGGCTGCAAGTCTTGGGGTCTGCAGAAGTCTATTTCATGTGGTGCTCATGGGTCTTTGGATCCAAAGGTTTGAAACAAGTACCTTGTTTCTTAGCTGGAGAAGCAGCTTTTGAAGCGTTCCTTCTAGCCTGGAAGGTGAGAGCAGTGTAGCCTTCTTCGTCCTCCATTGTGGCCTCTTGAAAAGAAAGAGGTGCAAAAAGCAATTCAGAGCCTCACCCAGCCAGTGAGGTACGGCCGGAAGCCAAAGACATGCCCGAGGCTGATGGTCAGATGCTTTCTGTCTTCGTAGCTTCCTACCACAATAAGCCACCTGCAGCTCAACAAGTGACAATGGAAAAATTTATTTCTTTCTTTACTCTTGGGTAGAAGAAATTAATTTATGGTGGAAGATTTAAAAAAATCAAATTTAGGTTTGATTTGAGGTTCTAGGGGATCTGTGTCTCTCTTTGAATGATGGTACACAGGGTGGGTTCCAGGTTTGGGGCAGGGGACCTGGGAGGCATTGTCCAGGGGCCTCCATCTGCCCACTGCCAGGGCCCCCTCATGCTTTCCACCCCCCCACACCTGTGTGTCCTTCTCCTGCTTGCAAGCCCTCCCACCATTCATCCTCAGTTGGCTGCACCACCCTCACATCCTTCCTCAGTGAGTCTGGGGTACAGAGAGATGGCAAGGGAGGTCAGTGGCAGTGGACCCCATCAGTAGTCCCAGGCCACGGGAGCTGCCCCACCTCAAAGCATGCTGACATCAGCAGTGATAGCACATATCAGAGACTACCAACGGAAAGCCAGTTTGTTGTAGTGGTTAGCATGGACTCTAATCTGGGAGAACCGGGTTTGTTTCCCCAGTCCTCCACATGCAGCTGCTGATGTGACCTTGGGTCAGTCATAAGTTCTTTTGGAGCTGTTCTCTCGAGGGCAGTTCTCTCAGAGCTCTCTCAGCCCCACCTACCTCACAGGGTGTCAGTTGTGGGGAAGGGAAGGGGATTGTAAACCACGCTGAGACTCCTTTGGGTAGTGAAGGGTGGGGGGAAATCCAATTTTTTCTTCTTCCAACTTCAATGTGGGGCCAGAAATTCCTCTGGAATTGCAACTTACCTTCAGATGACAGACACCAGCTGCCCTGGAAGGAACAGTAGCTTCTGAATCCAGACACATAGAATTCGGAATCTGCCCCTTTGAATCACAATTGCTCTGTCTGTCTTCCTCCCTCAATTAAATCCAGGTGCACTTCCCCCCCCCAAAAAAACAATACAGATGCCACATGAGAAAAATGAGGTTTTTTAGACATAAAACTCTGGGGAGAAAGGATTGGGAAGAGTGGTGTGCATATGGAGCAGAGGTCCATCAGTGGCTATTAGCCACAAGGTATAGATAGGGACTCTGGGGCAAGTGATGCTCTGTCTTCTTGGTGCTGGGGGGGGGGGTCAACAGTGGGAGGGCTTCTAATGTCCTAGCCCCTCTGGTGGACCTCCTGATGGCACTGGTATTTCTGGCTACTGTGTGATACAGAGTGTTGGACTGGATGGGCATTTGACCTGATCCAACATTGGCATCTCTTATGTTCTTAACTCTGACAGAAACTGCTCTTTCAGGAACAGCTGTGCCAGAGCTTGTGACTGACCCAAGGTCACATCAGCAGGTGCAAGTGGAGGAGTGGGGAATCAAACCCGGTTCTCCCAGATTAGAGTCCGCGCACTTAACCACTACACTAAACTGGCATAATCTTCATTGCCTTAACGAGGCCTCCACACCACTTCTTATTTGGATTTTGCTCCTCTGACCCCTCTCTTTCCCTCACTTCTTTGGATCCCATGATCTGACCCCATGTCATATAGTGGGGCCCATGTTTTAAAGGTGAACCAGGACTTTTCTGGCCACCACTGGTTTATCTGCTGAGAAGGTGACACAGGGGGATTTACAAACCTGAGATCAGTACCCTGACTGCTAATCTGGAAGTGGGGAACCTTCTAATCTAAATCCAGAGCCTCATAAGCAACTTTGACTTAATTAGAAATATTATAGTATCGTAGTTGTGTTACAGCTTTCTGAGTGAAACCTTGTTGGTGGGGAAGAGAGAAGTGATCTTGAATCAGTGTTACTCTGTCTTCGTTCTCTCCTCAGCTCCTATATCTGATGAGGGGAAACACCTGGGATGGAAAGACAATCTGCAGAAGAAAGAACCATCACAGCTGGTCCAGAACCACAGCCTGGGCCATTCACCCTTTTCTCTCTGAAGCTCAACCCCAGGGAAACTAGGAAGTGGGTGTCTCCTTTACAAAACCCCAGGAAAAGGAAAAGGGAACTCAGAAGGACAGAAGGGTGCAGACAGGGCATATGCCTAGTAGGTGTGGCCAAGCTGGAACTACCAGCTAATTTTGAGAAGGGGTGATGGTTTGCTATTGCTTTCCTGTGCAGAGTCTTCCTTGGAGGTCCCCCATCCAAGTAGAAGAAGGAGATGGTTTTTATACCCAACTTTCCTGTGCTCTAAGGAGTCTCAAAGCAGCTTACAATCATGTTCCCTTTGTCTCCCCACAACAGGCATCCTGAGGGGTAGGTGGGGCTGAGCAGGGCCGGCTCCTCCACTAGACCAACTAGGGCGATGGCCTAGGGCGCAGATCTCTGAGGGGCGCAATGAGGGCCCTGCTGCCACCTGCCTGGCCACAGCATGGTTTTCTGGACGCCCACTCCTCAGTGTCCCAGAGAGTGCCAGTTCTGGTGTCTCACATTGTTCTCCAGGCACTGCCATGCCTGCTTCTCTCTCTCCTCTCCTCTGTCCCCTTTGCAAATGAGCGCCCGGGTCGGTTTGGTGTCCCAGAATTGATGCTCGGAGGGAGCCCCTGACTTGCCCTGTGCCCGCCTCTGTCTCGCCTGCAGTCTTCTCAGTCACCACTGTGCCAGGCCTCCCTTGCACCCCGCTCCTTCCCAGCAGTTGCAGAGCCAACAGTCCCATGCCTGGAACCACCTCCTTGCCCAGCCCGACCCTGGTGGGCGGCAGCAAGCCCGAGTGGCAGCCCCAAAGCTCCTCTGGACCCGGCAGGCACCAGCCAGTGCTGGGCACTTTCTCGCCACCCTTTTGGCTCTGAAGCGGTGGGCGGGATGATGTGGGTCGGATCCAGGCCCCCTGATCTAATTGACCTTGCCAGGTTGTTGAGGGGGGGTGCCACAAGGCAGCCTCGCCTGGGGGGGAGGTGCCACAAGCTAGCCTCACCTAGTGCACAAAAAAACCTTGGGCCAGTCCTGGGTCTGAGAGAGTTCTGAGAGAACTGTGACCCAAGGTCACCCAGCAGGCTTCATGTGGAGGAGTAGTGGGAAATTAAACCCAGTTCTCCAGATTAGAGTCTGCTGCTCTTAACCACTACGCCATGCTGGCTCCCAAGTACCAACCCTGCTTAGCTTCCAAGCTCTGACAAGACTGAGCTATACCATGCCGTTTCACACCCCCAATGCTTCATAAGCCCCTGGCATTTCACTGGTGTCATTTCTCAGGACTGCCTCATATATATATGTAACTAGAAATAAGGCCCGTTGTGGAAATAAATACAACGAGATCTAGAAAGAGGCTCTGGGAGAGTGCTCTGGCTTTGGGCAAACAGTGTCAGTCTGCTTTTAAAACATGAACCTGGGACCTGCACACCACCAGAATACAGCAGGTTCCATATGCAACTGACATTCCAACTGCCTTGCGGGGGGGGGGGGTTTGAGGGGTGGAATGGAGTGAAGTCCAATCAGCTTCCGTATGCAAAAGACCAGGTTGTCGCAGCAGTTGTGGTGTGGGCGGGACCCGGGCTTTGCCTTCTGATTGGTGGCGATATATGCTGAGGAGCAGTGCCATCAGCCATACACTAAGGGAGTGCATTTTAGAATTAGAACTTTGGCACCCACTATTCAATTATATATAATAAGGAGAGATAATACCTCAGTCCTGACATTTGTGCACATAGGGCTACTGAGAGGGACAAGACAGCATGAGGGAGCCAGGACCCAAAAAACCAGATCAAGTTATGCAATTTGGCATTTGAATTGGGTCTGAGTGGTGCAAAGAGGACCCTCGTTGGATCTTCTCAGCCTTTTAAGTGTATCACTCTTAGACACTGCAGAAGACCTTGGTCTACTTGCTGTTTGTGGAAATAGAGGGAGAGATTACATTCAGTACAGGATACCAAAGCAGGATGTAACTACCACAGCACTTTGACATACCGTTAAATTTTTGCAAAGTCTGACTGGTCATGGTCTGGCTGTAGAACAAAGTTTGAGTCCAGTGGCACCTTTAAGACCAACAAAGTTTAATTCTGGGAATAAGCTTTCATTTGCAAGCACACTGTATTTAACATACAATAGCTACTATTCTTACACATTCTGAGAAGCAGGGGAAGCTGTGGTCTCACACTATTTTGTATTGCAACAAGAAAGAACGGATTACTTTTCTGGCCACATCCTGGAACTGGTGATGTGATTTCAAAGCAAAAAGAAAGTGTCGTGTTATGCTTCACACCAATCACACTATGAGTGAAATGGTAGATTGTGTAATTCACAATGACTTAGTGTTTATGCTGGACTTTTGGTCCATTGGTCCTGCCATCCCTAGGTGTTGCAAAGGGCTAGCCATGTTCATCCATTGTAGCAAAATCAAAGCAAAGTCCAGTGGCAATGGTGGTGGTGATGAAAAGTGTTGTCAGGTTTTGAGCACTTTATTTGTATCGAGATTGGTTTTAAATTGTATAATATGTTTTAAATGTATCAAATGTATACGATGTTTTATTATTGCAAGATTGCTTGCCGTGTAAGCCGCCCTGAGCCCTACGGGGGAGGGCGGGGTATAAATTTGATTATAAATAAAAATAAAATAAATAAAGCTAACTTATGACAACCCCATAGGGTTTTCAAGGCAAGAGATGTTCAGAGGTGGCTTGCCTCCCTCTACATAGTGACCCTGGGAATTCTTGGTGGTCCCCCCATCTATAGTGCTAATGAAGGCTGACCCTGCTTAGCTCCCAAGATCTGATGAGATCAGGTTAGTGGCATCTGAAAACAACATATATTTCTATATGGGCTTTGGTGAATCATGATCACTTCTTCTGACATGGGAGTCAAACTCCATACCACTCCATATCTGAAGAGGTGAGCATGACTCACCAGAGTTCATATATAAAAATTTTCTGTCTTTAAGG